CTAAACGCAGATTGAAACTGGTTTTTTTGCCTAACAACTTGTTTAAGAGTACAACAGGCCTTAAGAAGAACAGCCTTTCTGTAGACAGTTCACGGCATTGCAGACAAGGATGTCACAAATAGACTCACTCAGGTAACGTGCTGGATGGTTTTCCTGAGTGCTGTTAGATAGTCTGTACTTTATTTCTAAATGCTGCACTACAGCAGCCTTCATTTTGTTTTTGTTTTGTTGTGGTTCAATGGTGGTGGTTGGATTGGTGTTTTGTTTTGTTTTGTTTTTTTTTTTTTAAGAATTCAACTTCTTTCTGTATATATTTCAGGATTTAGCTATACAGAAATAACTATCAAAACTTGAAATAACAGTAGTTTCATTATACATTTTAAATTATTTTGTCTTCTTGTAACATAAACAGAATCCTCTTTTGCATCAGGCAACAGAAAGAATGAAAAAGGAAATATTCTTTATCTGACATTTAAATATTGAATAGTAAAGCATACTGTCCCACAGAATAGCCAGCACAGGATACACATTGATTTTGGTAATATACATGTTATTATAGAAATAACCATTTTTTTTTTTTTTTTACAAACATGGTATGCTTACAACATAAAGACACACTAGAACTGGACATGGCAAAGATGCTTTTAGTTATAATAAGTATAGTCCATGGAAAGTAGAAGAAAATGGGATTTGGACATTCAGTTGAAGAGTAAGAACATAATTACCAAGCTTCCACCTCTCAAAACAGGGGAGGAAGACAATATTTATAGCACAGCTCAGAGACTGAGTGAAAATCTCAAAAATTTACAAGAAAATGTGAAACAAGCAGGTAGCACTTATTGTTGCCAAAAATACTACCTGAGTAACACAAAGCTTTGTACGGCTGCACCCTAAACAGTGTTTAGTTTCTTTTTAAAAATTGGTTCCAAACTGAAAAGTAAACTGATTTCCTTTCAATATTCCCTAGGAATAAGGGAGACAAAATCTTGTGGATGCTTTGAAGTCCTTTATAGCAGGACGGTTGCAGCTACACACTGAGAATTCATCTGAACCATACGCAGAAGTCGTTGACATATTTCTTAAACTCTTTCATTTTAGGAAAGAATTTTCAATTAACAACTTCCTGCTCCATAGTTACACTTATAAGCTAAAAATTAATATTTCACATCAATATTTTAATATTAGTATCAATCAATCAAATTAATTTTTGTCTCTTTGTTTTCAGTAACTGACTTTGGGGCAGGTTTTTGTGTTTGTTTTTCCTCAAGATTGCTTACAATTTGATGTAAATTTTAAGCATCTTGTAATTCATCAACTAATTCTCTCCTGGTTACACACTCCAAGTAATTAAAGTTCAGTAATAACTTATTCTTTCTGCTCCAGCACCTGCATTTCATTTGTTTATTTTCCCAGAGTCATAAATCTGAGGGACTGTCAAAGTGCCATAATATTAGTGCAATAATCAAAGTTAATTAGTCGCTCTCAATAAACAACAACAAAGCCATTACAAAGATGCATTGAAGGCTTTCCAGCTACCCAGTTTACAGATGAGATTCTTTACTGAACAATTAGAATTTGAAAATTATTAGTAAGTAAATATAGTGTTTCTGGAGTAATTTGACCTTCAGTGATCTTCATTCAATTAACAATTCATTAACTCTTGGTGAGATAATATAGGTACTAAGACAAGTACTCCTGAACTCCCATTGCCTTCAAAGTGCTCAGAGATATATTTAAGGAATAGTCTACTTTTAAATTAAAAGGTACTCAGTACTGCCTTATTTGACTTGCATAAAAAACATATGCCTACAGCCATATTTAGCTGGACTGGGACTACCAAATTCAAAAGACAGAATATCACCCAATCCAGTTTTATTGAAAGAGAACAAATAGATGAACTTTAAGCAACACAAGCTGTGCTTGCTCATGTTGGAATTCTCTTGGAATACCATGCTACTGGAAAAAAAAAAAGTTATTTTTAATGTGTAGCATTGAAACAGAAAGGAAGACATTTTTCCTTCCCAATACTTTATTATAACTCTGTAATATCATCATCTGGGCAAGAGAAAAAGGCCTAAATCCAAAGACTGTTGTTTAGTGAAGAAATCTGTGGTTACAAAAATTACCAATATTATAAGAACCACTTAATTGGAAATACTTTCTTGTAAATAAGCCCTGTTTGTTTTGCACTAATATTATAATTATCTGTAGACTACATGTGTGTAAATATTAATACTACTGAGCTCTCTCCCATATCATCTGGGAGCAGTTGAAATATTTTCAGAGCTTGGGAAATAAGGCTAAAACACTCATCACTAAATTTAGCAAGAAAGGATTCTGAGAATCTGACACTGCGGTTTATTACTCAAATAAAGTGTATGGGACTGTGTCAACAGCTCATCTCCTGGTAGTTAGCACTCATGGCAAGCTCAGACAAGAGTGGCCTGCAATTTTTACAACCAAGTAAATGAATGTGGGAGGAATAAATTAAGAACACTGAATAAATTTTAATAAATTTTAATAAGGGCCTTAGAAGATAAAGAAAGAAAAGGGAGGAAGAGGAACACGGGAATAGACAGTAGGCAGTACTGAAGAGCTTGTATTTGCAATGGAAGAAAAATGAAAGATGGAAGAAACAGGAAGGAAAAAAACCTGTTAACACAAACTGCCTGACAGCAGTGCTGTTGGGCATGATGGACTAGGAAAGAAAAGGAAGGAAACCTTCAAGGTTTTGAAAAGTGTAAGAATGATTCTCTGAAATCTCTCATAGTATATAAACCACGGGCAAAATAGTGGCTGTCTAATACCCAACTGTGTCCATTTTCCTTCAGTTAGTTATACACTTTGGCTCTGGAAATGTCCTGTCCTATGAGCTACGACACATGCCTCAGTGGTTTTCACACATTTTCTTCCTTACAAACCATCTGCACGTAACACAGATAACAGCATGACAAGACTTGCAGTCCAATACAGTCATATGAAATGAAAAATCTCTATCATTGATATACCAGTGACTGAACAAGATATTACAAAATAAGACAAACTCATTCCTCCTTAGATTCTTTCATGGCCATGTAACATCTATTTAGCCATTTGTACTGCACCAAAGATTTCACTTGATAAACACAGCTTGGTGCTGGACACCATACCCCTTCACTCACCCATTCCCCGCGAATGCGCTGGACGGCGTCACTGCCTCTCGATGTGTTCCTGCAGGCCAGGATAACGTGTGCCCCATGCAGTGCAAGAGACTTTGCAGTTTCAAAACCTATGACAAAACATTTTCCTAGTCAGAAACAGATCTCAGCAACAAAACAGAGCTATACGATTACCTGAGAAGGTGAGCCATGCTCTAAGTACACCAACACTACCTGCACTGTGACTACCTGCTTGACAATCACCTGCACCCAGCTTGTAAAAACACATGAAAAAAGTTAAGACTCCTCAATTTAAACAGATCTTTGGAACAATAAATGTACATATTTTGTGCAAAAGAGACTTGGGATCTTCAAAAAGGAGACTCAATTTCTCTGCCTCAGTGTTTTCAGCTGTTAGAAGAGCAAGATTATGCTTCTTACTTGTTTGACTGTGAAGAATGAGCAACAGACTGAGACTGAAGAACTATTATGCCCAGCAACATCAAAGTGAAAGTGATAGAGTACTCTAAAACTGAGCTCTAGGCTCCTTAGGTGCACAGTTAGCCTTTGATTCATCAGTGTGAGGACCACCTGTGGCCGGGGGAACAAGAATGAAAAAGCACGTGGAGGCAACTACTCCTCCTTCCGACCCGAGCACCACCCCATCAGTAGAACACTGCTCCACAAAACCTGAGACCAGAGAACTATTCAAGTGCCAAAGCATTCCGGGGAGGGGTTTGTCAAGCTCACTCTTAGCAAATAGGAGCGTGCCTAAGATCTGTAATATGCATGCATATTTTCTTACACACGCACTTTCAAAACTTTGCTAAAATTTTCCTTAATTTATCTGCGTAAAATCAACTTGGTTTTTGTCCCATCATCAACAGACGTTGAGAACAATTTTTCACAATTGTTCTCATTATGAATAATCAAACCAATACCACACAGCTACTATAGATCGGTTATAGTATCGTGAGGCTAAACGGGTCATTGGATGTACTAGATGATACAGAGAAAAAAAAATAATCCATGAAAAATTCTCTCTTTTGCATAACTTACTGATATGACTTAATCTGCAAGCACATTCTTTCTGAAACTGAAACAAGTGGAAAGACAGTTCACACTTTGCTGCAATTAAAGTGCGGCATGAATCTATACCCCCAGGTTTTTTTCTTTTATCCATAGAACAAAGTTTCACACTGAATATCTAAATGACTGTACACAACCTTTTTTGGCAATACTCTTAATTTCTTCCCCATTTTGAATTTGGGCACTTCATTTCTCCTTTCTAAAAAGAGATTTCAGATTAATTTCAGTTTGTTAATTTGGGGCTCTACTGCAATTTAATGAGATCAGTTCAAATTATGAAACTGTCCACCAAGAGCTACAACTCCTACTTTGACATCATCTGCAAGCTTTTTAAATGTCCACTTTCACTGTTCAATTCATTAAGGAAAAGCTGCATGGAAGTTGGTCCAAGGTAAACATTTAATTGGAAAAAATCTGTGAGAATTGACACAAGGAGATGATGACTTCTTGGGACTGCAGAATGCCCATCGAGTGCAGAGAACAGAGCCAGAAACTGACTGGGTTTCTATCAGGCTGAACACTACAATCTACTTGTAATGTATTCACTGGTATTACTGGGTGCCCATCTCCACAGAGAACTGTAAAAATGACAGAAATTTCCATTTAGCTGGAAAAGGTATAATGTAACTTTACAAGTTCCAGTTAAACAAGCTTAAACCAGGAGAGGAAGAAGCAAACTGAAGTGCCTAACAAGTTGAGTATGTGAAGAAATCAAAGAGAAGAGGTATTTGTTTTAGCTTTAAGACATTTAAAGCATGTTCATGTTTTCCTTTTAAAACATTGTTTACCAAAAATCCTATTAAGATGGGCTGTTCCAAAACACCCTGGAGCAACAAATTCAGTTATAGCACAAGACGTAACTTACGTTATAAAAACAGGCACCAAGATGAATTTACACCATTTTCTACAATTACATACTTATTTAAGTCCAAGCAATTTTATGTATCTCTTTTAAAGCCATTCATTCTACCAAGCAACTTTAATTACCTGAGTAATTCAGTGCATGCACATGAATTCAGCTACAGGATATGCAAAGATTTCCCCTGTTCCTAATTCTACTTTAAGCATATTTAACTAGAATTTTTCATGTAGCTAACATAAGACAAGTTGTACTAGACTACTATTAGCTGCCTCTATGCATCTTGTTTTGCACAAAAAAAATCCACTTATTTTGACCAGCTTCCAATATTATTAAATACTAGTTAGAATGCCTGGGAATACAGTTTTTCTACCATTATACAAAGATCTGGTGCTGATGGTCAGTTTAATGAAATGTGATGATATTTTACTTACTCTACCCCAAGTCACTCTGTATAAAATAATAAATTCCATGCCATTCATTACAGTTAAGAACTCAATTCTCATTATAAACTAAATTGAAAGAGATTAAATTTTAACTATATCTACAGCATGTAATTTACATAGTTAATTTTAATACCACCTAGATTTTTCCCTGCAAACTTGGAGATGAGTGTTAAGCGCTCCTCCTCAGAACATAATGGCTCTTTTCTGGGCTACCCAAGAATGGTTCTTCATGCTTAGGCAGACATGTTCTGGACCTTTCTGTTAAATTATGTGCTTTAAAAAAAGCTAAATTGAATCAAAATCCATATTTAATGCAGTTTCATACACCAGAATTAAATCATAAACATTATAAGCCCCCAAAACAACAGTAAACCCCTTAAAAACCAACCACAGTAACGTTAAATAGAAAGAGAGAAATCTAAATAACCACATTGAGGAGGTGCATAATTAAGGAACCCGAGCAACCTTAATTCTACCCATGAGAGTAACTGTTGACTTCAAAAGAACCAAAGATTTCTTTAAAACTTCACTTAGTCTAAGACTGCAGCTACCAACCTGCTCTCTTACAGGGGCACAGCCATTTACAATGAAGCAACAATTTCACATTAACAGCCACAATAGTGGTTTCTTTTCCAGGTAACACATTGTATCGTCCTCTGCTGAATCTTCCCTGTACTACAGTGCTAGGCTATTGCAGCTGCAAAGATATTTAACTCAGGTAAAACAGATAGCACAGCCTACCGCCAACAAGAACTATAGCCATTGACATCCTGCCTGGATGCAACATCTGGCAAAGGGCACACATGGCTCAAGGACATTGTGCCCAGATTTGGTGTGTTACTGTGCTATGCTTCCATTTTCAGGGTTCAAAGAGGACAGCATCAAAAAAAGCTGCAAAACTTGAATATCTTATGAAAAAAAGAATAAAAAAAATCACATATCACATACTAGTTGTGTTTTTGGTTTTGTTTGGTTTTTTTAAAAGTAGCAAAAAATACATTAGAAAAACAGCATAGGATAATATACTTGAGCATCAAGGATAGCCAATTACAGAGTACAACAGATAATTCCCTCAAATGTGACAGCAAACCAACATGCTTAAATAATGTACAGTTTGGAAAAGCAATCACAGCATATTTAAATACTCTGTCCAATTTAATTTCAAGCAAATGTTTTATAAAGCTAAGCTTCAAGTGATTGCCCTGGAAATCTCAAGAGACAAGACTGCCCTGAGACTAAGTACTCTTGCTGTTGTTGCTCTAGCTGAACGAGCTCTAGTCTGACACTGAAAAGTGAAAATGCAGATTAAGACAATGACCTACATGAGGATACGTGTTCTGGTACCGTTCTCTACATCAGCAGCTAACCTAAAGGACTCGTGGCAGAACTAACAAGAGAGCTACAAGTGCATGGGGCTTGCTACAGACATTTAGAACTCTTCAGCCCATTACTTACAGCATGCTTTTCATAAACAACTCTGAAATCAGCACATAACTTCATTCCTCATCTTCTCTGAAAATTGATCAATTCCATACTCACATTCTTGTCTATCTGCTGTCAACTACTATCATTGAATTTTGGGAAGGATTTTCAGCTGTCTCAATTAACAAGCAGTTAGAATTGCTCAATTAATGACAGCTACATTGTGTCAACATGCACCACAGGCATGTACAGCTCTGTCAAATACTGAGACCTCCTCTACAACCCAGAGAAAAGGATCCACTGAGTGGGAAAGTAATTCAGTGCTTTCTTGTTTAAATAAAGTAGACAGCATACAGTCCATTTATCACTGGGGGACATTTTGTAAAGAATTTGCATCAGGCATTCACATGTTTTAAAACATTCTTTTATTTCAAATATAAGAAAGTTTGAATACACAAGAAGAAATTCAAACACATTTCAGACAAAAGTTTTCTTCAGCTCTTCTACCTTCTTCCACTCAAGGATACCTTGGATCTGTCATTTACAGCACATTTGAAACAGTGAAGCTATCTTTGCAACATCTTAATCCTAAATGTAAAAGCCTACAGGATTTTTTCACATTTAGTTTCTTCAAAATCATTTTGTCCTTTCTCTCTCCCAACAGAAGAGCCCTGGAGGCCCTGAGACCATAAAACATCTTCACATGTGCGTGAGTAATGATTTAAAGCAGTCAGGCATCCAGCCTTCCTCGAGTCCTATGTCGCAGGCGGTTTGCATGTAAACTGCAAGGAGTCCAGAAGAAAAGGTCCTTCCCTTCCACTGCAGTAAACATGGCAAGATCAAGCGAACAGAAGTGTTCAGTGGAAGGCAAAAGTCTTAGCTTGCTTGTGTTACACATTTCTGTCCCTTCATACACTAAAAGATTATTTACAGGCTGTATAACAGCAGAAACCAGCTCAGATTTTGTAAGCACAACCACGGCGTATCACTGAAAGTGTGTATTACTTTCACAGCTGGCTTCAGGTTTTCCTTTTCCCCCACTACATTGTTCTCAAGCTTTTAAGTTGCTTTCTGAATGGCAGCAAACATCAGTTGGGTTCTTACAAACAGACATATGCCCCAGTTGCAGAGTGAAGTGAGTTTATTTTCAGAATAGATCTATGGTTTTCTGTTAACACAAAAATGGTAAAATACTTTTACAAAATCATTGTTTGATGAACTAGTAGCTGGAAGAGCAATTTCTTCTCCATATATGGTATTGTGATATTGCAAGCAAAAAATCCGACTTCCAATAAGTAGAAAGTTTATTTGTACA